CCAATAGCAGTCAATAAACCCAAGTATCATTCCGAGAATGCTTCCACTGAGATTCCAAGAGAGGCCTTGAGATATTCTTTGAGAGGCTGACTTGAGTTTGCACTAAAAAAGATTGAATTTTTCTCCCGGTTCACTGCCTGGCCTGAGCACTCGGCGTAGATCCGGAGAATATCATTGAGTCTATCTACACTTTGAGTATTTGCACTCATAAAAATTAAACTGTCATCCGCGAACAAGAGGTGATTTACCCATGGTGCATGAATACTCACCCGAACCCCTCGATCAATATATGCAGCCCCGTGATTGTTGAGAAGGGAAGTAAGGCCTTGTGCACACATAAGAAAGAGGTATGGAGACATAGGGCAGCCCTGCCGGAGACCCCTCGATGGGTCAAAAAAGGGCAGGAGCTCACCATACCTTGATTGTGAACTGAACTGAAGTGACACATTTCATTATGAGGCTGATGAAGCGATCGCCAAAACCCAGCTTGACCATCATTGCTTCGAGGTAGTGCCACTCCACTCTGTCATATGCTTTAAGCATGTCCAGCTTCACCGCACAACTTGCATTCTTTCCTCTCCTCCTTCTGTGGATGGTATGAACACATTCATAAGCAACCAAAACATTGTCCGTTGTTAAACGACCCGGGACGAATGCACTTTGCTCTTCTCCGATGACCTCATCGAGTATGAGCCGAACCCTGTTGGCCAATAGCTTTACTGCTATTTTGTATAATACCGCGCAAAGAGAGATTGGCCTATATTGGGAAATTTTCTGCGGATTTCGGACCTTTGGGATTAGTATGATAGCCGTATCATTAAGTCCAAGAGGTAGCTCACCGCCATTGAGAAATCCCAGAATTTCTTTTGTTACATCTCCCACAACGACATCCCAATGGCGGGTAAAAACCGGTCGTAAATCCATCTACTCCTGGAGCCTTTGACGGGGCCATTTCAAAAAGAGCGTCCTTGACCTCGGATGCCGAAACTCCTTCTCAAGTGTGTGATTCATGGCCTCTGACACTCGTGGTTGGACACATTGCACCAATTCCTCCATAGGCGCATAACCCTGAGACTGGTATAGCGCCTAGTAGAAGTCCATGATCTCTACTTTGACCTCCACAGGATCGGTGCATTACTGACCATCGCCCCTCTCCAGTGAGGTAATTTTGTTGGTTTGTTTACATTGTGCTGCCTGGGCTTGGAAGTATCTAGTATTCCGGTCTCCTTCGCATAGCCAAGACACATGAGATCGCTGCTTTAGCCAGATTTCCTCCTAACGCAATGCTTCTCGCAGCTGTTTAGCAACATTAGTTTCCTCCTCCGTCGGGCCACGACCCATCGAAATGCTTCGTAATCTATCAAGACGGACTTGGAGACGGTGTACCTTCTTCTGCATGTTGCAAAACTCGCGATCGCCCCAAGCACCCAGCTGAGTCTGAACCTCAGCGAGGGCGTCGATGATACCTTGAAGACCTCCCTGCCCGGCTCCCGTTCGCCACAGCGCTCGCACCTTTTCATCATAGTCGGCATGACACTGCCAGACATTTTCATAGCGAAAGGAACGACGGCCCCGGGTCCAGCCTGTCTCCATATTTGTTCTCAACTCCGCCAGCACAAAGCAGTGGTCAGATTCGACACTACTTATGTGCTTGACGCTGGTGTACTCAAACAGATCAAGGAAGTTGGAGTTGACCATTGCCCACACTAATGTTGCCTTCACATTCATCTCCCCTTGTTGCCTGTTATCCCATGTAAAAGGGACACCACGCCACCCCACATCCTGGAGTGCACAGTTTGCCCTGCTTCCCGGAATGCACGCATTTGGCTCTCCGGTCGAGCATTGGCTCCAAAGTGCTCGTCCTCATGAAGAGTTTCATTGAAATCACCCATGCAAATCCATGCTTCATGGTGGACAGCAAATAAAGTACGCAAGAACTGCCAACTGTGGTGTCTATTTTCCACCCGAGATTCTTCGTAAAAACCCGTAAAACGCCAACTTTTATTATCTTTATTGACTTTTACATCGATATGGGATCGACTGTACTTTTGTACCGAAACATCAGTATCTCTTGACCAAAAAAAACCAATGCCTCCACTAAGCCCGTCACTATCGACAGCAAAACAACCAGAAAAACCTAAACTGAATTTTAGATCCTCCACACACTTGCCCTTGATTTTTGTTTCCATGACAAACACAAGGGCGGGGCCTTCTTGCTTCACAACTTTGCGAAGCTCTCGAACTGTCCAAGGGTTCCCAAGCCCTCGGCAGTTCCATGATAAGACACTCATTGGTTCGGGCAGGGCTGACCCGCAACCCTTGGCAAAGATTGAGATGAGGGTGGTGTTGGCTTCTTCTTCTTCGGATCCCTTTCTTTGAAGGTATCCCCACGATCTCCAACTTGTTGCTCAGTGATGGTTGTTGCCCCCTCGACCGTTCCTAGTCCAGCATGCATCTCCCCACGTTCAGTAAGAGCTAGGTGGGGCTGATTTACCTTGCGGTAGACTTGGGTGTTCTGTGGCCCTCCCTTCCTTTTGAATGGAGCGTTGTTCTTGGCAGGGGAGGTCACCTCGGCGCCACTTTTCTGTTTGGAGCTCGACGAGCAAGATTATTTTGTGCTTGGCTGTGAATCACTCCTCTCCTTCGAAGAGAACTCCCCAGAATTGGGTTTCTTCCTGTCTTCCGGCGCCCATAGGCTAGACTTGAAGGGTAGATCCCCCTTCTCATCCCTGGTTCCCAGTGTAGGGCAAAACAGATCCGAGTGTCCCAGGCGGCCGCAAGAGAAACAGAAGTGCGGGATGTATTCATACTCAATGTCATAGCAATCTGTCTTGTTCCTCTTGGCCAATGCAATTAGGATCCATCTACGTAGGGGTTTGTGAACATCAATGGTGACATGTGCTCGCAGGAAGCCCCCAACAGGATCAATCTGCACAATAGAAGCTTCCCTATCGATCTCTCTTGCTATCGCCAGACCCCTAGTTTCGTTCTTCAAAATGTAGGGCAAGTTTACAACCCTAACCCAGATTGGCAGCCTGTCAAATTTCAGCTTCGATGGCTGCATGTGCGCTTGAAAATCCTCCAGGATGACCGCATGTTTGCGGATGGGCGGCTGCTACAAATCAGCCGGCTGATTTCTTAGAGAAATCAGCCGGCTCGCTAGCCGTCAGATGCTTTGCTCGCAAACCGTCGGATCCAGTGAACGCGACATCGAGTCGTCCTCCTCTCGTCACATCTCCTGCTTTCGTACTCCTCTGGCTGCATGGATGCAAACAGCACACGCACGGCGCACCTCGCCCGCTGAGTCCCAGCCGCCAGGTAGCAACGCCGGGGAGTCACCACAGCGCCACCGCATCGCAACACCAACAACATCAATCGAAAAAAGAAAAGCATCGAAGTTTCCATCGTAGCACTAGTCCTCGCTGTAGCGTCGCGCCCCGGCTGCCTTGCGTGGTGCGTGCAGCACCAGCGCGCTAGCTGGGGTCGCCTCCGGCCTTCCTTGCGTGCTCCATTGCAGCCAGCCACACAACTTCGCCACCGGCCCCTGCAGCGTCCCAACCGTCACGAAGCATCGTCGCAGCCGTCGCAGTGACGCCGGCTTGCAGCCTCACGAGTGCTGCCTTGCAGCGCCGACGAGTTACATCGCCGCACCGGTGCCTCTTGTCAGATGCGTCGTGAGTGCTGTATTGCAACGCCGACGAGGTTGCCATGCAGCGCCGGTGTCACCTCTAACTCCGCGTACCATCCAACTTGCAGCAGCGGCAGCGCCGACGAGGTTGCATCGCAGCACCAGTCATTGCATTGAAGCATCCGCAGCCGGCGTGATCCTGCGGTTGCAACTCGTCTGTCGATTGCATCACCACGTGCGACGCTAGTTGCATCATCTGCCCGCGGGCGAGATCTGCAGGTTGCAGCGCCGTTGTCATTGCATAGTAGCACCAGTCGCCGGTTTTGCAGCACAGCTAGTGTGCGTTCGGGTGCTGCGCCGGCGTGGTTGATGCTGGAGAGGAGAGAAGCAAGAAGGAGAGAAGGTACTTTGCAGCTGTAGCGGTCGCGGTGTAGCTTTCCTTGAAGTTGCAGCAACTGGTGGCAGCAGTACGCGGAGTTACGACTTCGGTGGCCGCCGGCTAGACTAACAGAGAGATGTGGTAGAAAAGACGAGCGGGGATAGGAAGAAGTCAGAGGTAGGAGAGAAGAAATGCAGAAGCCAACGAGTGGATCTCTTGTAACGCCAGGAGATAAGATAAGGCGACGGGTGTTGCATGGCCGGGACGCGGATCGGCCGGATGATTTGAACACTTTTCCTTGCTGATGTGCCAGTGAGATCCCTCCCAGACTCGATCTCGATCTCGCTCGGTCTCAAACTGCGCGACAAACATGTTCTCCCCCAAAGGACGGATCACCAGGCCCCTCGGGTTACCCCAAGCTGGACGTAAGGCATTGGAGATCGTCTGGATGGGGAAGAGATTGCGATACAGAACCTTGCCCGCCAGAAGCCACTTCGGTGCTGCACCATCATCTAAGTCATCCATCACCAGAGGCGTAGCCTCTTCCTCGGAGATGTCGAGTTTACCGAGCGCCTCCTCCATCTGCGCCCGAGCCGAGCGAGGGGAGAGGGCGCCGCCGTCTTGCTTCTCCTTGCCCGCGCCGGATGTTGCCATCGTCGCCGGGATCACGTGGGCGGCCCGCGGGAGAGATGTGCGGCCGCCGTCAAAATCGCCTAGCCCTAGTCGCTGCGAGGGTTTTTAGGAATTCGGGAACGCGCATTGCTCTTCGTACATACGGTGGAAGTTCTTGCCCTGGCATGCTGATACACATTGCCATCAGCGCCCGCAGCATTTAAGACTGGAACACGTCAGAAGGCAAAACCCGTATAAATAGGGGACCTCCTCTGTTCCAGACATCCACCAAGTAGTACACAGCAAGGCATACCCTTGGACGAGCCGTGAAACGAAACCCACACCACGGTCGAGGCGCACGCAGCCGACCGAGCTCCAAGAATGGCAGCCACGCCGGCGTCACCACAGGTGCACATCGAGTCCGTGCAGACGGGCTTGCCGACTCGCCTCGTCGAGCCCGACAGGACGCGCGTCATAGCCGTGGCCGCGCCGCCGCTCCCGGCGACCTCGCTGCAGCGGCGCCTCCGCGCGGTCTTCTACTACCGTGGCGACGACGCGCCGCTGGAGGAAGGTATATGGGTAAAGGAATCGCTGGGCGAGGTGCTGTGCTTTTTCCCGGAGATGGCTGGCAGGCTCCGGCGGCACGCCGACGGGTCGTGGGAGGTGAAGCTGAACGACGCCGGAGTGAGGTTCCAGCAGGCGACGGTGGAGGTTACCATGGAGGATTTCCTGGCGGACAAGGAGCGGGCGCGTAAGGAAGCCGCGCTGGCGCCGTGGGTCGACGTGAGCGCGGAGGATCCTGATATGTGCTCGCTCTTCTTCATGCAGGTATATGCACGCGCACCAGCTCCTGAATTTTTCTGTAAAATTGCTATTTTTTGAACTGTTAGATCAAGTTCTAACCATTATTGTTCTAATATACGATTTACAAAAATAGACACAAGCATCTCGCTAAGTTTGCACACGTCATTTGGATTTACAAAAAAAGATTTGTACTACTGAGAAGATGAAAGGTATAACCCATTTCAATTAGAGCCACAGAAACAAGTTGGGTACAAATTACAATCCAGGTGGTTGCCAGATTTATTACAGGTTGACTGCTAACATAAACATCACAAACATAAAAGGCTCACAGCCGGAACTTCCCTTTGAGATAGTGCAATTGAAGCATCACGAAGAAAAGAAAGATAGGTACAAGTCACTGACAGTCCGGTAACTCGTATACCCGCGTAAGAGTGCCCGAGTTTCTTTAACCTAGACCAAGAACTCCCCAACAGATTCAAGAATCCTTCCCCAGTTTATCGCGCACCTGATTAAAACACCAGCATAGATATAGCGATATGACACTTGTATAGTCCGTGAACCCCCCTTGCCAGACAGAAATGACACCGAGATGGACGCAAAAGTGCCTATCAAATGTGAATTTATAGCGGTGTCTGACTGGTTGCTGTGCTAACCGGTCAAATCCGTAAGAGCGAACTCCAATGGGCCGACTCAAATGAACGGCGATTTTGTTCGTTTTTTGTCTGTTTGGATTGGCCGTCCGCCCGAGTCCGCTCTGTTTTAAATTTCGGTCGGCAGTGGCCTAACACGCCGATCCATATACGTCGGCTGACCGCCCTATTTCAACAAATAGCTCATTTTTGCATTCACAACTTTTGCGTTCAAACATATAGTCAAATAAATATAGTTTCAACCTAATAAAATAGCATAGTTTTACAAGCCGAATAAAAGTAAAAATGTCTCACATAGTCTTGCAAGCCGAATAAAGAAGATATACCTATTGGTTGCCAACATGAGCCCACATATACACAACCAAATCATTTTGCAGTTGCACGTGAGTTTCCCAATCACGCATGTCATGATGAAATTGGATGAACTTTCAAACGTTGCCGCTCCTTCAGGCTCAGGCACAACATTCTCACCCTGAAACTGAAAACCTTGATCGTACAGACATTGCGGGCGCTCATCTTCTACGATCATATTGTGCATAATCACACAAGCAGTCATCACCTCCCACAGTTTCTGCATGCTCCAGGTATTAGCGAGATACCGAACGATGCCCCATCAAGATTGTAAAATACCAAAGGCACGCTCGACGTCCTTCCTAGCACTCTCTTGCTCTTGGGCAAATCTTTTCCTCTTCTCTCCGACGGGGTTGGGGATTGTCTTCACAATAGTGGTCCATTGAGGATAGATACCGTCACCTAGGTAGTATCTTTTCTTGTAGTTGTGGCTGTTGATAGTAAAGTTCACTGGTGGGTTGTTGCCTTCGGCAAGCCTAGTAAACACTGCCGAGCACTGAAGCACGTTGATATCACTGTGTGATCCGGCCATGCCAAAGAAAAAGTGCCAGATCAAGAGATCTTGAGACGCCACGGCCTCTAGTATGACAGTGCAAGCCCTGACATGGCCCTTATACTGCCCTTGCCAAGTAGAAGGACAGTTCTTCCACTCCCAATGCATGCAGTCTATGCTGCCAAGCATCCCTGGGAAGTCCCTGCTGGCATTAATCGCCAACAAACGGGTTATATCTTCAGGAGTCGGCTCTCTCAAGTACCCAGGGTCAAACACAGCAATAACAGCCTTGTAGAACTTATACAGGGAGTCTAGACATGTAGACTCGCTCATACGGACGTACTCGTCAATGAGATCACCTGGCACTCCGTATGCAAGCATTCGGGTGGCGGCGGTGCATTTCTGATAAGAGGAGAAACCAATCTTTCCAACGACATCTTCTTTGCACTCGAAATAGTCATTATAGCTGATCTCCCCCTCTCTAATACAGTTGAAAAGATGTCTACTCATACGGAAACGGCGGCGAAATTTGTGATGTTTGAACAACGGATTTGTTGTATTAAAGTAGTCATTCCAAAGAAGGAGATGCCCGCTCTGTCGGTTGCGATTCAACGCCGGAATGTGGCCCGAAATGGAGCCACGGAACAATGGCCGCTAGCTATTGAGATGGTGATGGACCAACACGGCAGCCAATATCTCCTCCTCGTCATCGGACGACGAATCGTCGGATTCGCAAAGGAAATTGTGAAAAAAAAAACTCATTGGCGGAGTCCATTCTGTACCTTGCCAAACTGTCGAACAGCTTGCGGGCGTCGATGAACGAGATGGCCGGCAAAGGGAGTCACGGCACGCACGGACCAGCTAGCTGCCCTGCCGGAGTCCGACGAGCGTGTCGGCGTCCGACGAGCGTACCGGTGAGGATCTGGCCGGGGCGGCGAGGCGGCTTCTTG